TCTTAGATATACAAAGGGACAAGAAAGGTTCCTCTCCTTTTTTTAAACAAGCAAGGTTACCTAAAGTTTTTTTTGATATGAAGGAAGACTGGGAATTAAGGGATTATTGGCGGGAATGTAATCAAGAGGAGAGAGATTTCACTTTTTTTTCTGATAGACACCAATCTTTTTCAAGAATTGACTTTTTTTTGATTACTACGGATTTGTATAATAAAGTAAAGAATGTAAAGATTTTTCCTAGATCACTGACGGATCATAGCCCAGTTTGGATGGAGCTGACTCAAGAGAAAGAGGAAAGGAGATCCTGGAGAGTTAATGAAAATTTGTTCAGACAAGAGAAGAATGTTCAAAAGTTAAAGGAGTGTTTAAAGGACTATTTTGCTTTGAACATGTATAAGGGGACTTCAATGTCAATGGTATGGGATGCAGGTAAAGCATTTATGCGTGGTGTTTTGATAAAAATGAATAATTGTCATAAGCGGAAGCAGATGCAGAAACGTAGAGAACTTGAAGATGAAATTAAATCAAAAGAAATGGCCTTGAGTTTAAATCCTTCTGATGAAAGTATTAAAGAATCTGTAAAGTTACTAAGGTCACAATTTAATATGTTGATAGCAGATCAAGCGGCAACCAATTTATTGTTTATGAAACAAAATACATTTTGTAATGCTAATAAGCCTGGGAGATGGTTGGCTTATCAATTAAGAAAGAAACAGAGACAGAGAATAATAGAGAAAATAAATTACAAGGGTAAATTAGTTTCTCAGAAGGAATTGATTAAAAAATCTTTTTTGGATTATTATCAAAAGTTATACAAATCTACTAATGTGCAACTGCTAGATATAAATAAATATCTAGCTGAGGCAAGTTTTCCTAAACTGACTGAGGATCAGAAACATGAAATTAATGGTTTAATTACTAAGGAGGAAATTGCCTCAGCAATTCAACAATTGAAACTAGGGAAAGCACCGGGTACGGATGGGTTAACAGCTGTTTATTATAAAGCTTTAATGGAGGAGATGATCCAACCATTAAATGATCTTTTTAATGGTATCTTACAGGGTTTAGAGATTCCTCCTTCATGGCGTAGTGCTTTTATATCATTGATTCCAAAGGAGGATCAAGATCTTACTTTACCAAAAAAATTATAGGCCTATATCTCTTTTAAACGTGGATTATAAGATATTTGTAAAAATTTTGGTAAATAGGCTTATGAGGGTGGTGCATCATCTTGTGCATAAAGATCAATCAGGGTTTATAACAGGAAGGTATATGAAAAATAATGTTAGACAAATTATTAATCTATTAGAATATTTAGACAAGAACAACCAAGTTCCTGCAGGGCTCATATTTTTAGATGCTGAAAAAGCATTTGATCAATTGAATTGGCATTTTATGCTAAGAGTAATGGAAGAAATGAATTTTGGCGAAAAGATATTACAAGCTCTTACGGTAATATATCAAAAACAAATGGCACAACTTATTGTTAATGGAGGTTTGTCGGAGGTTTTTACAATAGAGAAAGGTACTAGACAGGGGTGTCCTTTATCGCCATTGTTGTTTGTTTTAACACTGGAAATATTATTGATCAAAATTCGAGAATCTCAGGAAATTAAAGGAATAGAAGTTAACAAAAAAGAATATAAGTTGAGAGCTTTTGCGGATGACTTGGTTGTTACTTTGTCGCAACCTGATTATTCTGCAGTAAACTTATTACAGTTGATTCACCATTATGGTTTGGTTTCGGGTTTCAAGATTAATGTAAATAAGACTAAAATCTTACCTAAAAATATGTCTAGTCAGGAGAAGCAGATTTTGGCTAACTTGACGGGTTTTGAGATTGTTAATAAGGTAAAATATTTGGGGGTGATGTTGTCTGTTTCTAATGTAAAATTATTTAAAAATAATTATGAAAGGTTGTGGGTCAGGGTACAGAAGGACTTGAAGAATTGGGAGAAGTTGCAATTATCCCTCATGGGAAGAATTGCAGTGATAAAAATGAATATTCTACCCAAGTTTCTTTTTTTGTTTCAAATGTTACCGATTTTGAAAAATGAGATTAATTTAAGTGAGTGGCAGAAGGGTCTTAATAAATTTATTTGGGCAGGGAAAAAGCCAAGGGTTAAGTTTAAAATTATGCAAGACTTCCGTGAGAGGGGTGGACTTAAGGTACCAAATTTGAAATTATATTACGATGCGGTGGTCTTAACACTAATCAGTGATTGGGTAAATTTGACAAATCCTGAGATACTTCATTTAGAGGGATGGGATTTACTTTATGGGTGGCATGCCTATTTAATATTTAATAAAAAAATGGACTGGGTCTTTAAATCTCATATTTTAAGAATTTCTTTACTTAGGATTTGGAGAAAATATTATAAAAGTGATTTTAAAGTTCCATTATGGGCTATACCTTGGCATGCGATAGAAGGAATAAAAAGAGGAGTAAAAATGGACATGGTGTCTTATAGTCAGTTACTTAGATGGGATGGGCAAAACTGGCAGTTAAGAATACGGGAAGATTTAGCGCAAGAAAATATTATTTATTCCTGGTTTCAATATAGGCAACTAGTAGATAAATGGAAGGTGGATTGTAAATTGGGTTTTCTTAGAGAAGATGGAAATCTTATTAAGCAAGTTAAGGATCAAAGACAAACCCATATCAAGAGAATTTATGGGGTATTAGTTGAAATGGACTCAGAAACGGAATTAATTAAAGATTGTATGATTAGATGGGCGCAGAATTTTGGTGTCCCAGTCTCATTGGACATTTGGGAAACCATTTGGGTGAGAAATGTCAAATTTACACAAGCACAGAACCTTAGGGAGAATTTTTATAAAATGTTTTATAGATGGCACCTTGATCCACAAAAAATGTCTCTTATGTACCCTGACGTGCAACCCAAATGTTGGAGATGTGGTTATAAGGATGCTTCCTATTATCATATTTGGTGGTCATGCAGAGAGATAAAAGCATTTTGGATCAAAATATGGTGGAATATCCAGAGAATTTTTAGAAGGAGGGTAAAATTTACTCCGCAATTATTTTTGTTAGGTATTGTTACAGATTGTGATACAAAGGAGGTTGTATTGATGTTAAATTTGATTACAGCCGCTAGGCTGTTAGTAGGACAATATTGGAAGAAGGAATCTTTGCCTACATTGCAGGAATGGTTTCTTAAAGTAGCTTATCTGGCGGAAATGGCAAAGATTTCGGCTTTCTTAAAGCAACAAACGCAAGAGAAGTTCCTTGCTGTTTGGGACAAATGGATAAAATTTATACAATTTAGATTGGGTATACAAAAATATCACATAGCTTTTTTATAAGTTTTATTTTTATATATATATATAGATATTTTTATATATATATATATAAATATAAATTTTTTAATTTAATTTTTTATTTTTATTTCTTAATTTTTAATTAAGCCTATATTCTGCTCTGGGAAGCTCAGGGGGGGGGAAGGGAGGGTTTTTGTGAGGGGTGGGGGATGGGTTTTTTTTTTTAATATATGTAATGTTTAGTTTCTTTTTTGTATATGTTGTCTTTTGTTTTGTATTGTTTTTGTTTTTTTGTAAAATTTATAAAACTTTCAATAAAAAAAAAATAATTATAGAAACACTAAAATTTAAGTCTTGCTCTTCTTTGCACTCAAATATTGCAGAAACTGTGTCCCAGGTTTTATCTAAACTGTTCAACACCAATAAAACCTTCTGGGACTCAGGGAATTTAATCCCACGTTGTTCTAAGTCCAAAAATAAACTTTGCATTTTATTTAAATGCTGTTCCACAGATTCACCTGGTTGCAAACAGGCTCTGTAAAGTTTTCTTGACAATTGCACTATGTTGCAAGCAGAAACATTCACGTGCACAGCTCTCAATTTCAACCATATTTCCTTTGCAGGCTTTAAATTTGCAACATTTAGAAATTGTGCATCATCTAAATTCAAGATGAGATAAGCCATAGCTTGATCATGGCTTTTCTGATCTGCAGCTGAAAATACTTGTGGTGGATTTTCAACAATATACCACAGCTCTTTAGCTTTCAGCAAACATTCCATTTTTGCAGCCCACACAATGTAATTCTTCTGGCCCAAACGAGGCACACAGCTTTCCTTAAATTCCATTGCAGACATTCTGCTAATTCTGCCTTGTTCTTATACTTTCTAAACACAGGCAATTTCTTCCAGCTTTAAATTACAATGCAGTCCTTAGTAAGTTCTGGGCCCATAACCTATTAGAGAATTTTAATTTCTCTAATTGGTGAAAAATAAATCAGAAGCTCTTACAGTTGACTGCATTTAGCTGATTCAAATAACTTTATATTTATATAAAAATATTTACAATACCATTCTTCTTTACAGCAACATAGCTTAATGAAGATTTCTTACAGAGACAGACCAGAGATAAACCTTGAGACTGGAAATCCAGCTCCTAACTCAATACTCTTTTGCACAGACTTAGTAGCACTTTCTTCACATCGGCTGACTGAGTTACTACATGACTCTTCCTGTTCATGAATATTCCAACAATATTTTCTCGCCAGCATCCATAATCAGAAAGTCTCTCTCTCTCCCTCTCTCTCTCTCTCTCTCTCTCTCTCTGCTTAGCAAAAGTGAATTTGCAGTGAATTTCAGCTGCTTATTTCAGATGTCTCAAATGTATTCTACATGATATACAGTATCTGTTCAATATTCATATAACTGAGTTGTTGGTTATTGAAAGCTCACTGAATGTGTTGTGAATTTATCTGCTATTGATCAAAAATCTTTTGGACATGAGATTTTAAGACTAGATTTTAAGATGGGCAAAAAAGGAACAGGATCCATCATAAAATATATTCAGGAACTGAGTAAACAATACATTTGCATTGTTCCTAGGATGCCGTCTCACTATGAGATATTACCATATATCATATGGTATACCATATATATACCATACAATATGGCAATATTTTTACAGGCCAGCCTAAACACAATGTTTGTGTTTCTTTTGATAGACAATGGCGATTTTGACTTAAAAGATGCTCTTGACCCAAGTAAGTATATTAGAAAATAAAAAATTCTTACTGAAAAGTCAAATGTTTTCATTAAACTGAATTTTGTTTCAGCTTATGTCAAAGGTAGGTAACATTATTCTCATGGCAACCAACAGATAGATACTTCTTTTCATGCCCACTAGACTTCCTGCATCACTTGATTTTTAAATGATTTTTTAATTTTTTTTAAAAAATGAATGGGATGTGACATGCTACAAATCCAACCCTTAGTGTTTAACATCCTAATAATTTTCAATACTGGTTCTCCACATGTGCGTCCCATAAGGATTCTTAGAAAATTAAAATGATGGATGACTACAACTAGACCTTTGTTTAAACAACGTATTCCCACCAAATCAGATATAGTAAATGGTATATACCATTAATGTGTCACAAAATTTTAAACGTGGCTGTGCATGCTGCCCTGAACAGCGAGTAATGCACTAATGCAGCCTCATAAGATTGTAAACTTTTAACATTATTATGTGATTTTAGCAATATTTATATACATTAACTTGGTTAAAGACCAGTGGAACAGCTTGCCTTCAGAAATCGTGGGAGCACCATCACTGGAGCTTTTTAAGAAGAGACTAGACCAGGGATCTCCAAACTTGGCCTTTTTATGACTTGTGGACTTCAACTCCCAGAATTCCTCAGTCAATGTGCCTGGCTGAGGAATTCTGGGAGTTCAGTCCACAAGTCATAAAAGAGCCAAGTTTGAAGACCCTGGACTAGACAGTCACTTATCTAAAATAGTATAAGTTTTCCTACTTGAGTACGGGGCTGGACTAGAAGACCTTGAAGGTCCCTTCCAGATTTCCTATTCTATTCTATTCTATTCTATTCTATTCTATTCTATTCTATTCTATTCTATTCTATTCTAATGTTTTTCAAATTTGGCAACTTTAAGCTATGTGGACTTCAGCTGCCAGAAGCCAGCTGCGGAATTCTGGGATTTGAAGTCCACACATTGTAAAATTGCCAAGTTTAGAAAACAGTGATCTAGCCTAAAGCTCTGCTTTTTCTTAGTGTGTTACCACATATGTACAGGCAAAAATGAACTATGGCTGACCCTATTTAAAATTTCAAGATCAGCCAATGTAAGCTGTACACACTTGCTTCCAAAGAATATAAATACATACCTCTTTATTAAAATATTATTTATTTATTCACGTTGTTGTTGTTATTATATTATTATTATTATTATTATTATTATTATTATTATTATTATTGATGGTGATGATGATGATGTTGGAAGTGACCTTGGAGGTCATCTAGTCCAGCCCCCTGCTCAGGCAGGAAACCCTATACCATTTCAGACAAATGGCTGTCCAATCTCTTCTTAAAGACTTCCAGTGTTGGAGCATTCACAGCTTCTGGAGGCACGTTGTTCCATTGATTAATTATTCTAACTGTCAGGAAGTTTCTCCTTAGTTCTAGGATGCTTCTCTCTTTGGTTAGTTTGCATACATTGCTTTTTGTCTTGCCTTCAGGTGCTTTGGAGAATACCTTGACTCCCTCTTCTTTGTGGCAACCCCTGAGATATTGGAAGACTGCTATCATGTCCCCCCCACTTGTCCTTCTCTTCATTAAACTAGACATACCCAATTCCAGCAACTGTTCCTTGTATGTTTTAGCTTCCAGTCCCCTAACCATCTTTGTTGCTCTTCTCTGTACTCTTTCTAGAGTCTTAACATCTTTTTTACATCGTGGTGACCAAAACTGGATGCAGTATTCCAAGTGTTCCCTTACCAAGGCATTGTAAAGTGGTATTAACACTTCACGTGATCTTGATTCTATCCCTCTATTAATGCAGCCTAGCACTGTGTTGGTTTTTTGGGCAGCTGCAGCACACTGCTGGCTTATATTTAAGTGATTGTCCACTAGGACTCTGAGATCCCCCTCACAGTTACTACTATTGAGCAAAGTACCTCCTAAGCTATACCTGTGCATTTGGTTTTTCTTGCCTAAATGTAGAACCTTACCTTTTTCACCATTGAATTTCATTTTGTTAGATCGTGCCCAATGTTCAAGTCTGTCAAGATCCTTCTGTATCTTACGCCTGTCTTCGGGAGTTCCCCATCTATCTATCCCCATATATTCATATGCATCTAATTAGAGTGTTAGCATATTTCATAACATTTTTTACTAAGCAATATTGCATACAATATATTAATTTAGAAATAATTATCAAATAAAAAAAAATATTCGTCCAGGCAATCTTAGAGGTAAAGTATTTGTGGAACTGAATATATCTTGAAGCTAAATTCCATTTGGTTGAACTTTGAGATATTCAGTATTTGTTTCTTGTCATTTTTTTAAATTGAGTCCTGAAAATTGCATCTCTTTGAAAGGAACTTTTTTCACAGGAAAATTATATAAATATTTTTAAAAACTTTATTTTTAAAAACTTTACCCAAGAGAGCAAAAGGGAACTGGCTTGATTTTCAGTCATTTTTAAGAATACTATTGATAAGTTTGTAAAGAATATTGGAAGCTTAAAATACCTCTTTTATTTTTGTTCCTCCTGAAAATAATGAATATAAATAGTATATTAATAGCAATTAGTAGACATGTGATATTGGGAATTAGGGGACCTTAAAAATGAAGAGTTCATTTGCTCAGCTTGTGCTAATTCTGAGGGTTTATAAAGAGAGGAGAAGATTGTGTTGTCAACATCACAATGAGTTTTAGAAATGACAACTAGCCTCCTTTTTGATAATCTTAATAATACAGTAATGTTCATTTACTTTGCTTAGATGATAAGAAGCCTTCTGAAGCAACCAAAAAGCCACCAGGGGGTAAGTATTAAATTGCAGCTGCTCAAATAAATACTACAGTGCTAAAGCTTTCTTTGTGCCAGATCTAAACTATAACTGAAATGTTCTCAATACTCTTTAAGGAGCTTTTCCTAATACTGTATACTGCTGGTTTGGACATTGTAACCTTTTTTGGAGTGGTTTTGTTTTTTTCCAGAGAGCAACTCCTGCTTAATTCTTAAAGATGAATGCCATTTTTTTTCCTGTCCCTTTCCATCAATTGCCCATTCCTAATGGTTATTGTAAAGAAAGATAAAAACAATCTTCCAGTATTGATAACAAGAATAATAATTGGCATTTATGGGCATTGTAATCCAAGGTGTTTTTCTGGAGAAGAATAGATTAAAGAAATGTTTATTGTTCCTAAAGAAATAAAATGTATGATAAGGAAATTTACTGTATATCTGGAAATATTTATTCTAGGTAACAAACCCCGACCTCTCTTATATCCTGACCTTAGACCATATTCAGATAATCATGGAAATGGCGGTAAGAAAGGAATATGTGTTATTTAGATCTATTCATAATATTTTTCCTTCCACTGGTTTGATTATGTTTATTGATTTGTAATATGTTGATTTAAGAAATTCCTTTAATGGTGGCAATGTCGGTGGCGGCACGATTGCAACTGGTAAGATTTGGTTTTGTTGTTAAGTTTTGAAATATTTAGCTACCTTTCTACTCTTTTCATTTAAATCAGTGGTTCTCAACCTTTTTAATGCCACGACCCCCAACTGGTCGTAAGTCGGGGACTACTCAACCGGTCGTAAGTCAAGGACTACTCAACTGGTGCAGCACTGTTTGCAGAATGGGACTTTTGGCAGGCTCAGCAGGGCAGAGACAGCCTGGATAATTCCTATCGGCTTTTGAAAGCCAATAGTATTAGACTCTATTCAAGAGAGTCTATTCTATTGGCTTTCAAAAGCCAATAGAATAAAAGGGAGTAGCACAGCTAAGGAAAAGGGGGAAAAAAATGGCCGACTGTGTTGTTTGGCGACCCCCGTGAAATGGTTGTTCGACCCCAAATAGGGTCCCGACCCACAGGTTGAGAACCACTGATTTAAATCCATGGATCAATATTACTGGAACATATTGATCAGCAGTTCTAATTTAATTTTTAGTACTTTAAAGAAAGTACTGTTCATATCATCTATATTAACTAGGCTGTAAAGTAGATGTATGTCATCAAATAAAGGGAATAGTATGTGAAATATGAATGTCTATACAAGAAAGCCTGAGTGGCAGTTGGCTGCAGGAATTTGCATGACCTTGAAAGACCAAGTTGTGTAACAAGGCCACAACAATTTCCTTTGGTGCTGCTTTCTTAATATTCCTCCTTACCTGTCTTTCATTTTAGTTATCATGCATAAGAATCTGCTTTGCTGTTCTGCATGATTGCTTAAGACTCTGCTTTTGACCATTTACATTTTTTAGATATCTGTAGTGTCAGCTCTGCCTGGCTTGGCTTGGGGGCTTCACAGGCATCCTGCCATTAAAAGAAGAGGGGGAGGAGGATGAAAGGAGGAAGAATGAAAGAACAATAAAGCTTTGTATACATGATAAGAAATTGGGGGGGGGAAATCACAGGTGAGAAGGACCAGATCCCATGGCCAGGCACCCTGAGAAATATGTGGATTACCCCCAAACATCTCAGAGTTCTCAAAACATCTTGGTGAGCTTCAGTTGGCTGGAAACGGTCTGATTATGGGGGGACTGAGGGCTGGGGCAAACCTACATCTCATTTTTGTATCCAGTGAGCATGCTAATTTCAGAGCAAGCTTGATTTTACTGCAACCAACACTCTTAGTAAAAGAACCCTTTGCTCTAACCAAATGGAGTCAAAGGCTTTTCTTTCCTAAGGGATCGGATTGGTGCAGGTCTGACAGGTAGTTTCACATCAAATACCATCAAACCATTTGCAAGACACTTCAAGATGCATTTTGGTACATCAGCTAATGTTTCAGATAGATTCTGAAATCCTCAAGATGGAGAAAATGAGAGTATGAAAGACAGGGAAAAGAGTAACAACATAATTAATTTTATTTTTTAGGTGCCTTTAATGACCTAGATCTCAATGATGGGAAATCTTTACCTCCACGCCCAGCAGGTAGCGTATAGATTCTTTTTCAGGTGATTCATGTTCCTCTACTTTAGCAATGTGGCAAAATAATTTAATTGGTAGATTTGCTTTTAACAAGCATTTTAATCCATTATAAGCAGTTTGAAATTCATACTTTAACTTTTATAGAAGTCTGTTATATAGGGGAAATTGCCAAGGTTCTCAATGTTATTTTATAGTCTACTATTTTTTTTTATTGAAATTTTTTTGAAAATTTTACAAAAAACAAAAAAAGACAACAACAAAAAACAAGACAACCCTCACCCAAACCCTCCCAAACCACCCCCCTCCCTCCCCCCGAGCTTCCCAGAGCTGAATATAGGCTTAATTAAAATTTTAAAAATTCTAAAAAAAATAATCAACTTATAAGATAATTAACAATAAAATATATATAACAATAAAAACATAAGCATTAAGAAAAAAATACTTAAAAAAGAAAAAAAAGAAAGAAAAAAAGATATAAAAGAAAAGAAAGAAAGAATACAATCTATAAAATACAAATTTAAATACAAATTATGAAAAAGCTAGATGGTATTTCTTTATAGCCAATTTGTATTGTATGAAATTTATCCATTTTTCCCATATGGCAAAAAATTTCTCTTGTGATTGATCCTTTAAGAAAGCCGAAATCTTTGCCATTTCCGCCAGATAAGAAACTTTTAAAAACCACTCTTGCAAAGTAGGCAAAGATTCCTTCTTCCAGTATTGCCCTACTAACAGCCTTGCGGCTGTAATGAAATTTAGCATCAATATAGTCTCTTGAGTATCACAATCGGTAACAATACCTAACAAAAATAATTGTGGGGTAAATTTTACCCTCCTTCTAAAAATTCTTTGAATATTCCACCATATCTTAATCCAAAAAGCTTTTATATTTTTACACGACCACCAGATATGATAGTAAGTAGCATTCAAACATCCACATCTCCAACATTTAGGCTGTAAGTCAGGAAACATACGAGACATTTTTTGTGGCTCAAGGTGCCATCTATAAAACATTTTATAAAAGTTCTCCCTTAGGTTCTGGGCTTGCGTAAATTTAACATTTCTCACCCAGATAATTTCCCAGGTGTCCAATAGAACTGGTTCACCAAAATTTTGTGCCCATTTAATCATACATTCTTTAATTAATTCTGATTCTGAATCCAGTTCCACTAGAACCCCATAAATTCTCTTAATATGAGTTCGCCTTTGATCTCTTACTTGTTTAAAGAGATTCTCATCTTCTCTAAGCAAGCCTGTACTATTATCCATCTTCCATCTATCCTGTCTATATTGAAACCATGAATAAGTAATATTTTCATATACTAAATCTTCCGAAGATTTTAACTGCCAATTTTGACCATCCCATTTAAGTAATTGTGTATAAGAAACCCTATCCATTTTAACTCCTCTCCTTATCCTCTCTATTGCATGCCCAGGTATAGCCCATAGTGGTATTTTAAAATCACTTTTATAATATTTCCTCCAAACCCGAAGTAGAGGAGTCCTTATAATATGAGATTTAAAAACCTGATCCACTTTTTTATTAAAAATTAGATAGGCATGCCATCCAAAAAGTAAGTCCCAACCCTCCAAGTGGAGTATTTCTACATTTGTTAAGTTTACCCAATCACTAATTAGTGTTAAAACCACGGCATCATAATATAATTTCAAATTCGGTACCTTGAGTCCACCTCTTTCATGGAAATCCTGCAAAATTTTGAGCTTTACCTTTGGTTTCTTCCCTGCCCAAATGAATTTATTAATACCTTTCTGCCATTCATTTAAATTAACCTCATTCTTTAAAATGGGTAACATTTGAAACAAAAAAAGAAATTTTGGTAAAACATTCATTTTAATCACTGCAATTCTTCCCATAAGAGATAACTGTAACTTCTCCCAATTCTTTAAGTCTTTCTGTACCCTGACCCACAGCCTTTCATAATTATATTTATACAATTTTGCATTAGAAACAGACAAAGTAACCCCCAAATATTTTGTCTTATCAACAACCTCAAAGTCAGTCAAATTAACCAAAATCTGCTTGTCCAAATTAGTCATATTTTTAGGTAATATTTTAGTCTTATTATTATTAATTTTAAAGCCCGAAACCCGTCCATATTGATAAATCAATTGTAGTAACTTTACTACAGAATAGGTAGGTTGAGACAAAGTAACCACCAAGTCATCTGCAAAAGCTCTTAACTTATATTCTTTTTTGTTTACTTCTATTCCCTTTATTTCCTGCGACTCTTGAATTTTAATCAGCAAAATTTCCAATGTTAAAACAAACAGTAACGGTGACAATGGACATCCCTGTCTTGTACCTTTTTCTATTGCAAAAACCTCTGACAAACCCCCATTGACAATAATTTGTGCCATTTGTTTTTGATATATAGAACCAAAAGCTTGTAATATTTTTTCTCTAAAGTTCATCTCCTCAATTACTCTTAACATAAACTGCCAGTTCAATTGGTCAAAAGCTTTTTCAGCATCTAAAAATATCAGCCCAGCAGAGATTTGGTTATTTTTATCTAAATATTCTAATAAATTAACAACTTGTCTAACATTATTTTTCATATACCTACCAGTTATAAAACCCGATTGATCCTTATGTATAAGCTGATACAAAACCCTCATGAGCCTATTTGCTAAAATTTTTGTAAAAATCTTATAATCTACATTTAAGAGAGATATAGGCCTATAATTCTTTGGTAAGGTAAGATCTTGATCCTCTTTTGGAATCAAAGATATAAAAGCACTGCGCCATGACGGAGGAATCTCTGAACCCTGTAATATGTTATTAAAAAGCTCACATAAAGGTTGGGTCATCTCTTCTACTAAAGTTTTGTAATAAATGGATGTCAAACCATCCGTACCCGGCACTTTGCCTAATTTTAATTGTTTAATAACTGTCACAATTTCCTCATTGGTAATTAACTCATTAATTTCTTGTTTCTGATCTTCTGTTAATTTAGGAAAATTGGCCTCACTTAAATAATTATTTATATCTAAAAATTGTACATTAGTACTCTTATATAATTTTTGGTAATAATCTAAAAAAGATTTCTTAATCAACTCCTTCTGATACACTAATTTGCCATTGTAATTTATTTTATCTATAGTTCTCCGTCTCTGTTTCTTTCTTAATTGATAGGCCAACCATCTCCCTGGTTTATTAGCATTACAAAATGTATTTTGTTTCATAAACAATAAGTTAGTTGCAGTTTGATCAGCCATCAGCATGTTAAATTGTGTTTTTAACAATTTTATAGATTCTTTAATCTTTTCATCTGTAGGATTTAGAATCAGAGACTTTTCTTTTAATTTAATCTCATCTTCCAATTCCTTATGTTTCTGGATCTGCTTTTGTCTATGGACATTATTCATTTTTATCAGAATCCCACACATAAAAGCTTTACCTGCGTCCCATACCATTGATATTGATGTTCCCTTGTGCATATTTAAAGCAAAATAATCCTTTAAACACTCCTTTAATTCTTGAACATTCCTTTCTTGTCTAAATAAGTTCTCATTCACCCTCCACGATCTCCTCTCCTCTTTTTCATGAACCAATTCCATCCAAACTGGACTATGATCCGTCAATGACCTAGGAAAGATTTTAACATTCTTTACCCTGTTATATAAATCAGTTGTAATCAAGAAAAAGTCAATTCTTGAAAAAGATTGATGTCTATCTGAGAAAAAAGTAAAGTCTCTCTCCTCTTGGTTACGTTCACGCCAGTAATCCCTCAGCTCCCAGTCCTCTTTCAGATCAAAAAAAGCTTTGGGTAATTTAGCCTGTTTAAAAAAAGTGGAAGAGCCTTTTTTGTCCCTTTGTGTATCTAAAACACCATTCCAATCTCCCATTAATATCACAGATCTATAGTCCAACGAAATTATTTTCTGATGTAACAGTCTGTAAAATTGTTCCTGTTGTTGGTTTGGTGCATACAATCCCACTATAAGTATTTTCTTACCATATAAACCCAGTTCAATCATAACATATCTTCCTTGAAGATCTGATTCTACCAGACGAACTGGTAGATTTTGCTTGACATAAATAACCACACCCCCTTTTTTCCCAGGGGCAGGAGATACAAAGTGAGATCCCAGACGAGCGTTGAGTAAATACTTTTGATCTTTAAGTTGAATATGAGTTTCCTGCAAACAAATAATGTCATTATTATGTTGCTTTAAATAGTAAAATATTTTCTTTCTTTTCTGGGGAGAATTAAGGCCGTTAACATTCCAGGTCAGGAACTTTGCCATCTCCCTTAACCAAAAGCCTGGAGAAGACTGCCTGAAGCTCTGCCATTGAGGAATGTGTTGCAGAACTCTTGGGTCTTGCTCCTCCCACTGGCATTGAGACACTTTCATGAGAAGATTCTTTAACTTCTTTCTTCTGTTGTTCCTTTTCCTTACGTCTATATGCAGCACGAGTCATTCTTTGCTCTTTGACCTCTTTGACCTCTGTTTGGCGCAGCCATTCCACCTGTGATTTTCCAGCAACCATCAAACCTAATCCTTCAGACTGCTGTTCCACCTCCTTGCCGCCCAGAGCTTTCTGAGTCATAGATGAAGATGAGCCTGCTCCCAGGACCGTATTATAGAACTCTTTAGCTTTGGCAACTGTATTAAGTCTGTAACGTGTCCCCGCATGGCTCAAAACAATACCCATCGGGATCTCCCATCTGAATGGCATCAATCTTGTTTTAAGCTCATTAGCTAGAAAGGCAAAATCTTTTCTATTTCTTAAAATTTTAGATGGGATTTCTTTTAAAATGATAACATCTTGGGCAGCAATCTGGAATCTCTTGTTATAAAAAGCTTGTATGATTTCATTACGCAGAGATCTCTTTACAAAGTAGATCACCACATCTCTTGGCAAGTTCTTTTGTTTCGCAATCCAGGAATTAACTCTGTAAATTTTTTCCACTTCTCTACGTAATTCATCTTTATCCCTATTCAAAACAACAGCTAGATCATTAATCACCATCTCCATCAGATCTTGGTTCATATCTTCTTTGAGACCCCTGATTCTCAAAGCATATTCCATTTGCCTATAGTGAGACATAAGAATATCCTCTTGTGAAGTTTCCATCTTTTTTTCCATATCTTGGAATTTATCCTCAAGGAAATCTACTTTTCCTGCAACTTCTTCAACTCTGGAATCCAATTTCACAACCACAGAAGCCAATCCTGATAAAGCTGCAACTATGTCTTGCCTCAAAATAATATTATTCTCCACTAAAAGCTCCTTCATTTCCTCTTTAGTTTCAGATTTATTCTGTTCAAAAAGATCTTTCATTTCCTCTTTACTTTCAGATTTGTTCTGTTTAAGAAGGTCCTTCATTTCCTCTTTGCTTTCAGACTTGCTCTGTTCCAAAAGTTGCTTCATTTCCTCCCTGATTTGGGATACAGCATTTCCCATTATATCTTTAATGTCTTGTGCAGATAAGCCTGGCAAGGGAGGAGAAGGTGGAGGTGTAACCTTAGGTTGCAGCACTGGTAGTGTAGCTTTAAGTTGTTGTTGTACAGTTGCAATTGCAGGAGAGGAAACCACCTTAGAAACTATAGAAGCTGGTTGTCTCTTTGAAGCCATTTTTAAAAATCTTATTTTCTCTTTCTTTCTTCTTAAAAAAAAAGAAAAATACTAAAATCCTTAAGATTAAGAAAAAAGACCAGGGAGAGTGCAAGAAAAAAAACTTCAAAACCTCCAAAACCCTTTAAAAGAGAGAAAAAAAAACTTGAAAGAAAAAGGGACTGTTTTAAGTCCGTTCTTTCTTTCCGGAAGGAAAAAAAAAAGCACTTTCAAAACGCCATCTTACTTTCACTCTCACTCTCCACCCAAAAACAAAAAAAACAAAAAGAGAATCAGCATAAACTAAAAGAGAAATAAAAAGAAATAAAACTCTACACTCTAAGTAAAATCCTTTAAACAGTTCTGTCCACTTTAAAAATCACTCACCAGAAAACTTTAAGCATGGAGATGGTAGCGGCGTTTCGCTTTGTTTCCGAAGAAACAGACAGCTGGGAGGCGGAGAAAGCACGAACTCCGAGGGAACACTCTTTCTACCTCCCCAAAAAAGAAATCCAGGGGGGGTTAAGAGGTTCTACCTCTATTCGTGTAATCTCTACCCCTTCCCTTCGCCCGGGAAGGGGATTTCGAGCCGCGGGCCAGCTGGTGTGCGCTGTGCTCCGCAGATCTGATGCCGTCCCTGGAGGACGGCTACAGAGTAGCCGCCATCATCGTCGCTGACCACCGGAAGCTCCCAGTCTACTATTTAATATATAAACAGATGATAACATATTATGGTATCAATAGAATAACATCCTGATGAAATGGAAAGCTCAGAAGTGATGTCCAGTATCGTTGAAATAACACACATGCATGCTTATATTGCTACATGAATGCTGCACTTATGTCCTTAGGTCCCAATCTCTGACACAGGTTAGAGCGCCCCCATTAATTGTTTTTTATTCCCTCAACTTTCTTTATTCTCTGTTTGAGGATATATTTTCTGTAATATTTTTTTGAATATTTTTGATATTTGGTACTTTTAGTACTTTGGTAGTGTGATTTGTTTGGTTATTTTTTAATGCTTCTGTTCCTGAAATAACCATGTTATTGACTCTATTTTAGGTGAGAGAGAGCAAACTTCAGATCAGGGTGGAAATATGGGTAAGACTTCGTATTTGTTTTGTTTTGCTTTTGTGTCTCTGTAATTATTTAGAGTCAAAATGAGTAAATAGCAAATACTGTATATTTTTAAAGTATATTTTATATTTTAAAAGAAAAGATAACTGGGGATTCCTAGTCTGGAAGTAGCAGAGGACCACTTATTTGGAATAAGATTATTTTTTTATAAATGTTTTATTAATTTTCTATTTTCATAAACAAGTGCTCAATTGACAACATGATGATTGAGTTCTTTAATAATTCAGTGATACATATAAGTTTTTTCAACTAAGTCCAATGTTACACCCACCAGTACATTCTCTTTTCTTCTGGTAATAACAATTTTTCCACATTAAGCAAATACAATTCTTATTATTGTTAGTAAACATACAATTGCATATCAACATTTGTTACATTTTTCTAATAATACCAATAATATCAGTTTAGAATAGCTTTCCTAGCCAAAACATATCTTAATTGCATTTGCATTCAATTTCCACTCATTTAATCCATATCCTATTTTTACTTTTTTTCAATTTTAGTTTCCCATCCATGTTCAAAATGTCGCAATCATTTATAATTTCAAAACAAGTTGTATTTGGGCAATCAAAAGAATCCCTTATTCAAAGTTCTTAACATATTCTTATTTCCCTTTTCATACCAAGATATAATATTCTGATTACAAATCCTAGCTATCTATTTATAAAAATGCTTCTATTTCTAACAATCTATTCTTAACAATATTCAAACCTCTAATCAATAATATAGCATCCCCTCTATTAGGTCAAAGCTTTTGTTTCTTTCAATCTTACTCTAGCTTTCTTTCTTTGTCAATTAACTTTCCAAGTCAGTACATTTGGATCATCAAATAATTCTTCCTCTATTTTTGTATATATTATTTGAAACAAGAGAAACAATTTGATTAAAGTGTTTTTGGAAGAGCTAGCCCATTGGTATTCATTAAACCACCTCCCTCCTTCTCTGGTTCCCCACAGTTCTATTAGCGACTTTTCTTCCATTCCATCAGCTCTCCTTCCTTCCAGTATGTTCTGAAACCTTGGTTTATAAAATGTCTTTTCCATTTCCATTTCCATTTATATCTTCTGAGTTTTCATTTGTTTCCTCCTTTGGATCATCAATATTTGTGTCAGCATTTTCTAGTTTTCCTTCTATTTTCTGGGTTGCTGGTTCCTTCTCTGTAGTTATCTTCTGAGTTTGTAGATTTGAATTAGAAAATTGTTCTTTTATCTCCTTTGTGTTATTAGTAACCTGCTCACAAGCTAGAATAATTGTTTTTTGTATTACTTTCAGCATGGAGAGAATTTCTTTCTGTGTTTTATCAGTATTTTCTTGATGATATGGCAAGTTAAGGCTGCTGGGAACAGATGTTAAAGATGATGTTTTACTATTTAATGCTGAATATAAAACATCCATTGTTAAAGATGATGTTTTACTATTTAACGCTGAATATGAAACATCCATGGAAGAAGATTAATTTTTGATGAAAATAGTTGAAATGATCAGATATGGAAACAATCTATATTGTTGCTGCTACTCCTCAAGCCTTATCCCAACGTATTTCCTTAATTTTTTTCAAAACTACTATGCTTGCAAAATTAAGTTCAGTCCTTTCACTAAGCAGATAAGCAGCACCATATTTATTTCATTTTATTTCAGTCTCCAGTTGAAGTCCAGCCAACACCCAAGATTTTGCTGTTTGTTTGTTTTAATGCAGGAAGAAAGAAAGATCAGGACATATCTTTTGGATAGGTTGAGAAACCAAATTCCAAACTTCTGATCCTCTGATTTCTCACATATTGTTTCCAAAAGAAAAGAAATTATCAGGGAAAAATGGGTTTGAGTTGCAGACAAAGTAATTTCTTGCCACTAGACCTAGTCAAACATTTGGGTTGTAAGGTTCTTCTGTTTTTCATTCTGTCCATCCCAAATGGCAACATCATTCTAATTTATTGATATTTATATGATTTGGGTAATGATGATGAAATTTCATTGTAATACATGTAAGTCCTCAACTTACAACCATTCATTTAATGACCGTTCAAAGTTACAATGGCACTGAAAAATGATTTATGATCATTTTTCACATTATGACCATTGCAGTATCCCCATGGTCACATGATCAAAATTTGGATGCTTGGCAACTGGCTCATATTTATGACAGTTGCAGTGTCCCAGAATCATGTGATCACCTTTTGCGACCTTCTGATAAGCAAAGTCAATGAAAAGCCAGATTCATTTAACAAGCATGTTACTAACTTAACAACTGCAGTGATTCACTTACAGCTGTGGCAATAAAGATCATACAGTGGGGTAAAGCATACTTAATAACTGAAATACTTAGCAACAGAAATCTTGGATTGAATTGTGATCATAAGTTGAGGACTACTTGTGGTGGTATTCTTATTTTTTTTGAAACACATTTTATTGTTTTTTTTAATTCTTAAGAAAAAGTACTCAGGAAACACCGTGGTGTTTGGGTAATCAAACATTCAAAAGTAAAAACATATATAAATATCTCAACTCAATACATTCACTGTCCCCTCTCTATTTCCCTCAAATAACATAATACGTTTAAAATATTCCATTTCTAATTTAAATTTCTATAACTGCTCAACCTGTTTTAAAACTTTGTAAATTTACAATTACCATAATCAAATTTAACTTTAAATCAACAAATTATCAATTCAGGTATCCCTTCCAGATATATTCTAATTCTTAATCTCTCACATCCCTCATTTTATCACAAATCTCATTTATTTCTTTTTCCACTACACACTACATATCCTAATTAGAATAAAATATTAATTTACCCTATATATATATAATCCCACAATCGATCAATCTCTTTAAGATAACAAAATAATGTTAAACCTTAAATCATTTCAGTTCATTAAACAAAATTCAAATTTCATCCAATTGATTATCATGCCTTATCACATCTATGTTATCATACAAAAAGATCACCTTACTAATTTAAAACACTCAGTTAATTATTGAAACCATCCAAATCTAAAAAGCCAACATTTTTTCAATTCTAATGCATAATAATTTTCATCAAAATAAACCTATTATTCCAAAAGGTACATTCTTAACCTATTTAAAATATCTGTTCTAATAATCACCCTCCTATTTTTTTCTTACTTCTAACTCTAAATCTTAATCCTTAAAACAATCCATAAATCAAACATTGCCTTTTAATCCATTACACAATTTTAAATTTCTCGTTTTAGTCTTATTCTGGCTTTTTTTCTGTGCCAGACAGGTTTCCATAACCAAGCTTCCCTTTCAGACAGTAGATCTCTTTTTGTTGCTTGCAGTGCCCTTTGAAAGGATAGGAATCCCATCCTCTGCATTAGGCATCTATTTCTCTCATCCTTAAAGCATCATTGCTTTGTAGTTTCAAGTCTCAATCTTTGCTTCTTCTGTTCCCCAAAGTTATAGATGGAGCGTTTATAAGATAGAATAAGTTCCTCTTTTATCTCTGTTGATTCCTCTTCTAGTATGTTTTGATTTATAGAATGGTCAGATGTAGTCTGGGCATCAGTTTGAAGATTTGAAGTGAGATCTTAATTCTGTAGTAAACTCTTTCATTGTAGCACATATTTCTGCAGTAGCCTCATAAATCTTTTCCAATATAAATTTGCAGTTTAATTGTAAATGAGATTTCTCCATTTTGATAGTAATTAAAAAGAATCTCTTTTTTCTTTTTTGTGGAGGTTATATTTAATAAAAGTTAAGCAGTGTCCTCCCCCACAGTTTCCACAGCTGCATCAGCTTATCTTTTCTCTTCAAAAGTATTTTGAAGGTCAGGTCTATTCCATCTTCAAAGAATAACCAGAAGTTGCAGTATTAAGTTTTCGCCACTAGATGTCCTCTGTAGGTTAAAAAAATCTTTTCCAGACACCATTTGCCCCCCTTTTTTCTGTCTTTTAAAGTATAATGTGAAAAAAGAAATAGTCTTTCAGCATAAAATGATAGTACAGCTCTTAGAGAATTTTTTTTTCTGTACCCCCAAAAAATATAGAAATAAAATATAGTCTTTAAAATTTTAAAATTCTATTCTTTTGTACAACGCCTTTCTTCCCAAACATGTAGAAGCTGCTTTTTCAAGCCAGGGAAATAATTCCAACAAGGCTCTTACAGGCAAAAAAACAACAACAACAAAAAACCAAGATAGAATAGAGAGAGTAACAAGGAAAAGTCTCACCCGGATTCAGGTGGTATTCTTAACTGATTTTCCCCCCCTCCTTAGTTGACTCTGCTACGACAGCTCAGATTACATCTCCTGTTGTTGCTATAGCTGTGATGCTGACCTTTGGGGCCATAGCTGGCTATACTGCTTATAAGCAGAAAAGATACTGTTTTAAACCAAGAGGTAAGACTGATTGCTATAAAGTCTCAGTAAAATCAATACTGGATGACATAGCTTAGATAAGACTTGAGGATGTCTTAATTATATATGGGACATGTTATATTAGAGACTGGTCTCTTCTCACAACAATTAGGGAAAACTTACGGTATTTCCAATGGGATCAATCAATCATTTTTAGTGAGTCTTACTTTTATGATGGAAGGGATAAAAGAAAAGAAAAAGCTAGCCTTTTTCTATGAATGTTTTCTAGAAGAAAAAAATACCAAGATTCTATGCTAATACTATTATTTTTTAGTCTGCTGCTATAGAAACAAATAATAAAATTTCATTCAGTAACATCACAACATTAAGAAAAAATAAAAGCTTCATTTTTAAGATCCACCTATAAAGAATGTTGTTTTGTTCTTTCTGTAAATTATATTTTGAATACTTTTGTCCAGTTAAAATTTCTGTCTAGTCCATTTGAATAGTGTTTTATATGCCTCCTTAAAGAACTGAGAGGTGTCAGAAATATGCTTTAGATAGGAACCATTAATAAGGACATTTGACTGAATTTGTGGCTAAGCTTCTTGAGCATGTGTTCTCTCTCAGGTGCTCTCTTAGATTGAAATCCAAGGCAAACCTATTTTACCCTTCCCCATCTTGCATGGATCTAATCCCTAAAGCTATTGGAACAATCCTATGCCTTTACTCTGAAGTAAGATCCACTATATCAATGCTACTTATTCTCTTTTATGTTTATATTAGAGTGCATTTTTACTCAAGAGTGAAAGTGTTTTGTAGAAAAGCCTCTTACAATGCACTTAGTCTATCTCATTCACAAAATTTTATAAATGCCAGACTTAATTACCGTCCATCCCATTCCATTATTTTTTCCATTTGTTTTCTTACCAAGAAATTATATTTTTGATTGAACTAGCACACTAGAAGCATCCAAGGATAAATTTTGCATATTATTTGTAATGTGTTGCACTATTTGTAACATAGTACCTTTTTTTTACATGCACACTTATGTTTTAGATGGAGCAGTTGCCTAAACGATTCAAAAATGATCCAAGAAATATTGTTCCACAAAATCATCAACAAATGAACGAACTGCATACTGTAATATCTATGATGCTGTTGCTAAGATTTTATGTAATGTGGCATTTTGTTTTTGTTTATAAAAACTAAAGAACAAACTTTCAAAACAAGAGATTGGTTAATGATACACACTGCTTCTATACTTTGTATGATTTTTTTTCAGTTCATACAGTTTAGAAACATTTTATGTTTTGTTTATTTAAGATCATTGGATCCAATTGTTCAGAATCTCAATTTCACTCTTAGTATACAGGCATTGGTTTATAGTTAAGGCTCTTTATGTACCCTTTTTCAGATCTTCAGGACTACTTAAAAATCTATGGGGTGATAGTTGCACTGAAATGTTGAAAGATGCACATCATGTCCTTTCTCTAATTTAGTTATTACTGCATCAATGTTCAGGGAAACATTGTACTTCTCTTACTTTATAAATTAAATTTCATTGAAACAAATGTAATTGGTTATCTTCCTACATTAGCTACTTGATACCAGCAACAAAGTCAGGCTTATGCATCCAAATTCCTTTTAGCATTTAACCTTATATGGAAATTGATACTATTGCTATATTGTTTAAAAGTCAAGGAATAGTTCACCTATTTTGGAGTGTGACTAGCTTAAATATTAATTTGGTGATAAAATACCAGGTACTGAGAAATAAACATAGATTGTGGTCATCTTCATGAAGTTCCAAATAAGAGTTATTATATTTAAAGGAGATGGTCAGGAAAGAGAGAGTCAGGAATACATTGGAATATGTATATGGTTTTTCCTCTTTAATTAAGGGAATTTTTCCCTTCTTTCTTCAATTCTAATATAAAATATATTGCCATGTATATTAATTTTCCAAAGACAAATGGATTAATGGGAAAATACTGTATGTGGTTAGAAGGATTGAAAATTATATTATAATTCTAATTTAGAAGATATTTTTTCCAAAATTATATTTATTTATTTATTATTATTTTTACACACTACCATCTCATGTAAATGACTCTAAGTGATCAATGATGTATTGGTATCTGTCACTAAAAAAATGTCTAAAATGTATAAAGGTATTTTGAATCTTTGTTTGAAATGAGAACAATATGAAGGGGACATTTTATCATATTTGTGGACATGTAAAAAGATTAGAAAATTGAGGATACAAATACATGCATATACATTAAATAAAAATATTTTAAAGACTAAAGGACAATTGAAAACAGAGGCTTTTCTTTTGGGAATGATAGACAAGCAACTAGAAAAAATGTATGGTGCTTTGTTTCTGTATATGACAATTTCACTGAGATGATTGTATGCTCCAAAATGGAAAGGTTCTACACTATCTACAATGAAGGAATGGTTGGTGAAGATGATGGACCTAACAGAAATAGCTAAAATAACTTCTTGATTGGAGAAAAGACAATATCTACTGACTAGAAAACCCCTATAGACTCTTTAAAAAGTTTAATAAAATTTATGTATATAAAAAAATGAAATTGACTCCAAGTGACTTATATGGACATATCCATGCCATGGAAGCAGTTTGCCTTTGCTTGTTTTCATAATGTTTTATCAACTTCTTTTTTTTACGTATTTTATTAATTTTCTAGTTTTATAATCATAAATACTTAATAAACAACGTGTTGTCTGGGTCCATTAGTAATTCAGTGGTACATATTAACTTCCTCAATCTAGGTACAATACTACACTATCCAGTGCTTCCTCTCTTCTTCCGGTGGTATACATTTTCCATACTGGGCAAATACAATTCTTATTGCTGTTAATACATATACAATTGAATATCAGCATCTTTATTACATTTTGTACTGTTTTTCCCACTTTTTAAAAATTGTTGATTTCCCATCAGTGTTCAGAGTGTCTAATTGCTTATAATTTTCTCATAATAAATTATATTTGGGCAAACAAAGGCTTCCCTTGTTCAAACTCTCTTAACATTTTCATATTTCCCTTCTCATACCAAAATATAAAATTCTAGTTATAAATTCTATCTTTCTAGTTCTAATAATACTTCTATTATTAACTACAGTTTCAAAGGCAGAAGAATTTTACAACTCTGTTTTGAAGGCAAGTTCCTCCTTATCTTTACAAGCTAGTAAAATTGAAGAAGAGCAGATAATTGGAGGAGCAACTTCAGTGATTGTTAGAGAAGTACAAGGTCAATATAATGTACAGAATTTGGAGATAAAAGAACAAAGGATGACAAGAGCTGCGCACAAACGTAGAGAGAAGCAGCAGAAGAATAGTGAAACAACAGCTCCTACAGAGCCTGTGGGAGGAGCAAGACCAAAAAGATCCTCAACAATTGATCTTCAAGCTATGCTCCAGAGGCTTCAGGTCAGTAAGGATGGCAAAGCTCCTGACATGGAATGTTAATGGCTTGAACTCACCGCAGAAAAGGAAAAAAGTTTTTCATTACCTGAAGCAATATAATAATGACATAATATGTTTGCAAGAAACTCATATAACTTTAAAAGATTCTAAATATTTGACTAATTCTCATTTGGGATCACATTTTATCGGCTGAATTAATAGAACCTGATCCTCAAGGAAGATATGTTTTTATAGATTTACTACTACGAAGCAAGAGATTTCTTATTGGGGCATAAGATTATATGCCCCTAATCAACAACAGAAGCAATTTTACAAGATTCTGCATGGAAAAATAACTCAGTTGGATTATAAATCTGTAATTATGATGGGAGACTGGAATGGAGTTCTGGATTCAAGAAAGAATAAAAGGGTACTTTTTTTACCCAATCTAAAGCCTTTTTTGATATGAAAGATGAGTTGGAACTTATTGATGTTTGGCATGAAAGGAATATAAATGACAGAGATTACACTTTTTATTCGGACAGACATAAATCATTTTCAAGGATTGAATTTATTTTAATTTCCAATGATCTTTTTTCCAGGGTCAAGAAGGTTAAGATTTTTCCTAGGACATTGTTGGATCATAGTCCTGTATGGTTGGAGTTATTTGTTGAAGATGGGAATAGAAGATCCTGGAGATTGAATGAGAATTTGTTCACTCGGGAGGAGTTTGTTCAAAAATGTAAAGAACATTTGAAGGAATTTTTTGTTTTAAACATGAATAAGGGAACATCAATGCCTATGGTGTGGGATGTTAGTAAAGCTTATATGAGGAGTATTTTGATTCATATGAATAATGTTTTTAGGGGTAACTTGACACAAAAACGTAAAGAATTAGAAGAAGAGATTAAATTAAAAGAAGAAGCTTTTGTTCTGAATCCGATGGATAATAGGTTAAAGGTTGCAATAAATACGCTTAGGGCACAATTCAACATGTTGATGTCAGATCAGGTGGCGACAAATTTGCGCTATATGAAATATAATACTTTTTGTAATGCAAATAAGCCTGGGAGATGGTTAGCTTATCAATTACGTAAGAAACAGAAAGCAAGAATTATAGAGAAAGTAAAATATAAAGGCACTGAGGTTTTTCAACATAATTTGATTAAAAAGAGTTTTTTAGATTTTTATACAAAATTATATGCTAGTGATAACATACATGTTGCAGAAGTAGAAAAGTATTTACAATCAGTGCATTTTCCTAAACTTTCTAATGATCAACAAATTATGATGAATTCTCCAATCACTTCAGAGGAAATTGGTTTAGCCATTAAGCAGTTAAAAGTGGAAAAGTCTCCAGGTACAGATGGATTGACGACAATGTATTATAAAATTTTATCTGAGGAAATGATGGAGCCGTTAAAGGAGCTTTTTAATAGTATTTTGTTGGGAGCTCAAGTTCCCCCTTCATGGAGAAGCGCGTTTATATCATTGATCCTGAAGGAAGATCAAGATCTTACTGAACCTAGGAATTATAGACCTATATCTCTTTTAAATGTGGATTACAAGATTTTTTCAAAAATTTTGGCAAATAGATTAATGGAGGTAATGAAGGACTTGATTCATTGTGATCAATCAGGATTTATAACAGGAAGATATATGAAATATAATGTAAGGCAGATTCTTAATTTAATAGAGTATTTGGATAAGAATAATCAGATCCCTGCAGCCTTTATATTTCTAGATGCTGAGAAAGCTTTTGATCAACTAGATTGGAAATTTTTATTTTTATTGATAGAGAAAATGAATTTTGGAGATAAGTTTTTACATGTTATTAAGGCTATATATCAGCAACAGTCTGCTCAAATTATTATCAATGGGGGTTTGACTGAGACTTTTAAAATTGAAAAGGGAACAAGACAAGGATGTCCATTATCTCCATTGTTATTTGTTCTAACAATGGAGATTTTGTTAATTCAGATTAGAGAGTCAATGGTAATTAAGGGAATAAAAGTAAACAGAAATGGGTATAAATTGAGAGCTTTTGCAGATGATTTGGTTTTAACTTTAGTGCAACCTACTCAAGTAGCTGGTCATTTGTTGGAAATTATATCTCAGTATGGAAAAGTTTCTGGTTTTAAAATAAATAATAATAAAACTAAAATGTTATCTAAAAATATGTCTAATAAGGAAAATGAAATTTTAGTTAAACTTACAGGTTTTCAGATGGTGAAAAAGGTTAAATATTTGGGAGTATATATAACAGCTTCTAATGGTAAATTATATAAGAATAATTATGAATTATTATATGGGCAAAAGTACAAAAGGATCTAAATGATTGGAAAAAGTTGCAATTGTCGTTGTTGGGGAGAATATCAGCAGTAAAAATGAATGTTCTACCAAAGTTTCTTTTTTTGTTTCAAATGTTACCTATTCTAAAAAAAGATGCAAATTTGGATGAGTGGCAAAAGGGTATTAACAAATTTATCTGGGCTGGGAAAAAACCAAGGGTAAAGTTTAAGATTTTGCAGGATGCTCGAGAAAAAGGTGGGCTTAAAGCACCCAATTTGAAATTATATTATGGTGCAGCCATCTTAACTTCGATAAGTGATTGGCTTAATTTAACAAATAAAGATGTTCTTTCTATTGAAGGGTGGGATTTACTGTATGGTTGGCATGCATATTTGATTTTTAATAAGAATGTTGATCGGGATTTTAAATCACATATTTTAAGGAATGCTTTTCTTCGAGTTTGGAAGAAGTAGTATTATAGGTTCAATTATAAAATACCTATTTGTGGGATTCCTGGACATGTAATTGAGGGTGTTTCTAAGGGAATGAATTTTGATAAAATTTCGTATAAGGAGTTATTAATTTGGTCAGGTAAAGATTGGCAGTTAAAATCTTTAGACAAGAAAGTTGGAATAACATTAGGAGATGAAAATCTGATCATTCAGATTAAAGATCAGAATCATGCTCATATTAAAAGAATCTATGATGAGTTAATAAAATTGGATTCGGAAACAGAGTTAGTAAAAGATTGTATGATTAAATGGGCTCAGAATATCCAGGAACCAATCTTATTGGATCAATGGGAGAATATTTGGATTAGAAATGTTAAATTTACACAGGCCCCAAATTTGAGGGAAAATTTTTATAAAATGTTTTATAGGTGGCATTTGGATCCCAAAAAATTGGCTTGTATGTATCCTAACTTCGTCATCTTCAGGCTGGTGTTTTCAGCTTCGTGCTTTGAGCAGCAAAGACCTACATACAAATATCCACAAAAACCTCAGAAAACAAATATCGAACCTCTACGGGGAGGAAATCCACCATCTGACCAGGACCTATGAAAAACTTGAAGTCCAAAGAGCTTCCATTTTATGCGACCTCACATTCCTACGCAACTGCCGAGATCAAAATCTAATCCCCACATGTTTCCAACTGAAATTCCACTCCAACTCTGCAGCCACCAAACGGATCCTGAAAAGAACAGAATTGGCCCTAATCAGAAATGAACTTCACACAAAAAGATTCCTCCTAGACCGAATTAACAAAGATCTCCTCACACTCCACCTCAAACTCAGCAACAAGATCCACCCCGCACTTTGGGACAAATCCAAACAACTCGCCGTCTGGAGAGCCGAAACACAGACCACCCTCAAGACAGATACACACACCAGCAAACTCCGAAGACTACAAGAACACCAGAAACAAACCCCTCCTCCCTCACAGCCACACATGAAACAAACAGTGCATAACATCTCAGAAAGGATCCTCACCAAAGCTGAAACCAATGTCCTTTCCAAAGGATTCAACTTTGCAGTCGCTCCCAAACACATCCCCACTGAAATCATTATATGTGGAGTTGAAACC